GGCCAGCTCACTGCAGCCTCAAACTTTTGGGTTCAAGCGATCTTCCCATTTCAGCCTCCTGAGTGGCTAGGACTATAGGCGCATACCATCATGCCTGGCTTTTGTCTTTAATATGAAGTTTGTATGTAATTTTTTTTTGTAATGGAATAGTTTTAGTTAATGAATAATACTTCTTCCTTTTAGGTTACACCTGTGTTTGAGGATTGGACTACTATTGATTGGTATCGATTTTTCTGTTTATGGGAGAAGTTGCCAACTTCTATGAAAAGGGTAGCAGAGCTAGTGGGAGTTGAAGAGGGGTTCTTGGCTCGCTGTGTGAAAGGAAAAGTAGTAGCCAGAACTGAGAGACAGCACCGACAAATGGCCATCCATAAAAGGTAAAGGTCAAGATCTCTTGGCTCTCTGGTATTTAACACAGTGTCTTGCATGTAGTAGATGCCTATTGTAGTCACTTTCATTGTCAATAAAATCAAAATTTTGGCAGAGTATAAGGTTTTTCAGTTTTTTATATTTTCTGAATTTATTGGTATTTTAGTTTCTTTCTGCAACTTACAGTTTAGCAGCTGTTACATACAAAGATCTTATCTTTTAAAGTGGAATATTTAATTCTCTTTTGTAAAGAAGGTATGGCTCAGAAGAACCGCCAACTTACTGTGACTTCACTTGGGGTTATGCTTTGTACCATGCTTAGAAGTGATGCATTACCAGTAGGGAAGAAGAGCTAATTAAAAGATTCAGATAGAGAAATTGTACAGGCTGTTAGCTTCTTTGATGAATTGCCGCTTCTTGGAAATGTAATGAAATTGGCTGGGCACAATGGCTCATGCCTATAATCCCAACACTTTGGGAGGCCAAGGTGGGCAGATCACTTGAGTTCAGGAGTTTAAGATTAGCCTGGCCAATATGGTAAAACCCTGTCTCTACTGAAAACACAAAAATTAGCTGTGCTTGGTAGCACACACCTGTAATCCCAGGTACTTGGAGGCTGAGGTGGGAGAATCGCTTGAACCTGGGAGGTGGAGGTTGCAGTGAGCTGATACTGCGCCACTGCACTCCAGCCTGGGAAACAGAGTGAGATTCTGTCTC